ATTTCGAAGTCCATTTCGGTGTCCTCAGCATAATTAGGTCGCGACCTGCCAGGACGGCCGCGCGATCGCGTACCGTATGACGATAGCGCCTCACCGTTTTGATCTGGCTCCTTTGACGATGCTTTGGACTGATTTGAAGCGACGTTGGCCGCCTCAGGTGATGGTTGCAGGTCGTCCATGGCAGAAGACGCGTCGTTGGGGTTATGTGCAGGCTCCCGTACTTCCAAAGAAGCAGCAGGTGTCGAATTTCTGGTAGAAGCCTTGCTAGTTGATTTCGAAGGCGCTACTTCTGATGCAGCGCTGGGTTGATGCTGTTGATTGCTTTGCGCGTCATCTTCGTTGCGCGGTGATGGTGCGTTGGACTGGTCCCCAGCCGTCGAAGACGGAGCCTCGCCTTCGCCGTTCTTCGTGTCCGCCATGCCGATTACTGCAGAAGAAGGCAGAATCAATGAAACGGCCGAGGCAAAGGACGGCGAAGAACCCTTTCAAGGCAGGCGCGGGCTGTCGCCAGGGTTGTCGCTAGAAAGAAGCCCGTCAAGTGCGGATATCAACGCAGCATGAGAAGGCCCATCAGCGCATACACGCGAACTTGTGAAGTAGCAGGTCAAAGGTGAGTATTTTCGGGGTTCAAGACGGCTGGCTTGATGGGGCCGATGGCGAAACCGGGAGAAGTTTCGTGGTTAGACGAAAGAAAGCGTGGTGTGGGGAAGAATTAGTGAAGAAGGGAGCAGTGGTTGAAGGAATTCGAAGATGGCGGACTCGCTGTAGTATGGGTCTAACGGTGCCAAGCTAGGCCCAAGGCTACGTCCGTGGGACCTAGGTTCTTTCTTACGCATATCTCATCTTTCTCATCGGTGCTGCTAACCACAGCACCCTGACAGCAGCGCCCGCGCCTGCCCACGCCGTACAGGTGCGTCGTTCGGCGAACGATGGGGGCGCTGATGGGTCCTTTGTCACGATGTGTTCTTTTGATGGTTTTTGCACGTTCATGTTCACACGGCTTCATCCTTCAACGATCTCCACCACCCCTGTCTGACATACACCGGCAACGCACCCATCATGCGGCGACTATCTCTGTAATGTGCAGTTGCTCCGCCTGTCTCAGTCATGTCCACTTGTATAGGCCAGCGGACAGGCTGCGTCGTTCGAGTCACTACTCGGTTTCATCAAATTGAGGCATTATATTCATCACATCTCATCGATTGCGTGCGCCTCGACATTTCGCCAGGCCTACTGATCTGGTATCGAGTGCTGTGATGATGGCGTGGGCGAGGCGACGAAGGTTGGAAGGAGGCGATGTATGGTACAGTCCATCGTCTAACTCGATTTAGCGCCGACAAGGGTCGACTGGTCTTAACGAGACCTCGTCGTTTGGCAGAGATCCGTGGATGGAAAGGCTTGATGCCGAATCTTCCACAGCACACATTGCGTCACCCAAGCTGGCAGAGTCAGGACATGCGCCTCATTGCCCGCGCATGTGTCCGGAAACGCAGAGCGCCTGGATCGTTTATTGTTATTCCTTTCTGCGGCCCTGCCACACTAGGCCCAGTCGCGTCTGACTCTCTTACACATCCACCTGTTCCGGCCAAATCAGCCTGGTTCGGACGGCCCGATCGTCTCCATCGTCGACTTCCATCTGGTGGTGAAGCTCCAGCGCCGCCCATGGTCGTGTCGCACATGTGCCTGCAACCCGTGCGGTTCGCGGGATTGCTACCTAGGTAGGTCCGCAGACAAGGGACGCTAGCAGACGCATTCAGTCATATCGTGTCGGCTGCCTTGTTGCCCCCCTTCGAAACACCCAGACACCCAGCCGCACCCTAGCAACCCTCGTCGGCCTCAGATTGCCCGCTCCTCATTCGCTGTTACCGGCATTCGCTAACGTGATCGTTGGCGCACATCAGCTCGCGCACTTGCAGCAACAATGTGGCCCACGCACCGTCTCATGGGCTTTGATGGGATTTTCGCTGAAGACGACACCGATGTCAAAACACGGCTTGTGAAAGCAGCCGTCTCGTTGACAGTGACTTGCGTGTGCGACCCGGCGCACTCCCCAGGCTTGCAACCGACCCTAACCAAAGTGGCCTATCCGGTTCTGCGCGGAACGCGCCAGTCCCTCCTTCGCTGGGCCTCACTCGAACTTGGGAGCCGTTTCAAACGTGTTGGTGACTAAACTCCGCCAAGTGACCGAGGATTCAGCTTGCGATATCTCACAACACTCTTGCGCCAAGACAGACGTGGAGTGATTGTCGAAATGCGCCTTGCAGATCAGTCTGCCTATGAGCAGCAGAGGCGGGGCCGGATCTCAACACTGCTCTGGTCCTACAGACAGGTCGCAGCTTAAAGACCTCATTAACTTGATCTCTGAAGTTGCGACACAACTATCTTGTGCCCACGCCTACCCGTGTTGACGAATAAGCGATAACAGCGAAGAGTCTCCTTCGTCATCGCTCGCGCGCGTATATCGATGCAGAGTCCTATAGTCACAAGACTATGAGTGATCTCAGAGCTCCACAGTGTTATCTTGTATTTGCGTTATCGGGGCATTTCACGGTCGCTTTCACCACCAGCACTCAGCGGTGCACATCATTTTCAGTCAAGGACCTGCCTACTCATAACACATCGCTTCGAGCCCCCCTCCACCGCGTCTGGTTTACAGAGACGTTTCATGCCTCAGTAAAGTACTTCGTGAAAGTTTGAATAAGCATGGTTCGGCATGGTGGTTGGGGATGTGTTAGCATTGTCTCATCTTGAAGGGGCGGTCTTTAGGTTCTTTTGCCATAAACTGGATTCAAAAGCCATGCGATCCGGTTCCGCCATGAAAACTACGAGAACTACGTCGTCTGGTACACGGCGATAGACAGACTTGGGCAAGTCGGTACACGCATTGCGAGTTGCGCGGTCGTGTACAGTGCAGGAGGGCACTGGCCGCAATCAACCGGTGGCTGAAAGATGTTCAAGGCACATTCAACACTCAAAACGCTATTCGTGAAATGCGCTGAATCACCAGGACGCCACTTTGCGACAGTAGAGCGCAGCAGGGTGGTTATCGGCGACGCCTACCTAGACTCGCACTCTAGTTTGGTGCATGCGGGAACGACAGGCGCTTGCAGATCGGTCGAAGAGCCATAACCGTGCCGGAACCTATCTGTTTTCTGTCCATCAACGGCGCGCAAAGCCCCTTTTCATGCCCATTGATCGAGCAAGGTTTTCAGCGACAACAATCAAACTTTCGGTCCGAGGGCAGATATAACCACTTACACAGCCGTGTCCGCACCGTCATGCTTGCCAATACTGCCTCAACCATGGGGAGCTGGGAATGTGCTGGCACCGTTCGTGATCGCAACAAACAACGCTCGGCTCCAGTACCGATAAACTGCCTCTTTTTGCGAAAAGCGCAGAGATCGCCATTTCCTGTTCCGGCTGGATATGTTCACGATGGATTACCCTGATTTCTTCAAGGTGTGCGGGCACTTGTCATGGTCGGGGTGGGGCCTTGATGACATCTGCCTGCCGAGGTCAAGCCGCTGACCTGCATGGAAAACGCACGAGCCAGCGCCAACATTAGCTGCGCTAGCATCCCCAGTGCGGATCCCCCTCCTCAGCGACTGCAACTCGCAACGGTAGCTCACGCATTTCACAGAATATCTACCCATGCGAAAATAGGTCATGTACAATCAATAGAACGGCAGTATGATTGAATTGTTCTGCACGTTGTCTGCATCTTGCCGCCAAACAGATCGTATCACTATAGGCTGCTGGCTTCCGCGCACGAGAAGTTCAGCATCCAACCATGATATAGCCATTTTCCGTTTGTCTTTTCCCTCATCAACTCCCACCTCATATCCCACCAAACGATCAACTCCTAGCAAGTTCCAAATTGTAGATGAAGAAGTTTACAAGGCGAAGATGGCCAAAAGACCGGCGAGACCGGCACCAGCGATACGAGCTGAAGCCTTGTCGGCGGCACCAGTGGAGGCGGGACCAGCTCCGGAGCCAGATTCGGTTCCAGAGGCAGAGGCAGAGTCTCCTGGGTTATCGTTAGTACAAGAATGAGCAGAATCTACTGCTGGTGACAATCATACCTGAGGTAGCCGTAGGGTTGGCAGAGCCGGTAGCAGAGGCAGAGGCACCTGCAGCAGCAGAACCAGAAGCAGAGCCGGAAGCAACAGCGCCACCAGCAGCGCCAGGGGCGAAAGCGGTTTGGCTGCTGGGGAAAAGGCTGTTGATGCAGCTGTCGACGCACTTGGCGTAGGCAATGGAGTCGGAGGTAGAGCCATCGCCCTGGTCGCACTTGGCAGCACATTCGTTGGTTGCGATAGCCTGGGAGGCGTTGGGGCGAGCGTTGCCCAAGCATGCAGCCTGGCAGTTCACATCGCCGGCGTCGCAGTCCATGGCACAGCTGATGGCGGGAGAGAGACCGCTAGGAATGGCGGCAGCCGCTGGGGCGCTGGTAACAGACGCATCCTGGGGAAGGGCGAAGGCGCCAATGGCGAAGAGGAGAACAGCGGAGTACTTCATCTTGAATTTGGTTCGGGTTTGGGTATTACTCGAAGGTTGTAAATAGCGGTTCGATTGTGAGGATTAATACAGGTATACTGAAGATGCGGTAAGCGAGCGTGGGAAGTACGAGTACTTGAAGGCTGAATCAGAATAAAGAACGAACGTTGGCGCACACACTGAGAATCCGGGGCAGGCCATCTCGCTTTTTATTGCACTGTTACACTACTAGTCAGTACATAGGGGTTTGGCGAGTAGTGGCTCCGTTGTGCTTATATTGGGTTTCGACTATGCCTCGTGTGGTAAGCCTTGTCGGGCCGGCGGCGTCATATCGAGGCACGTCGGCTGGAACCTTACCAGTGGTAGCCTGGACTCCAGGGCTGCAGGGGTCCACCACACCTGCCCCATCCATCTGCGCCAAAACGCGCTAGAAAACGACGCGTCGCGACATTCACCTCACCACGCCACTAATAAAGTGCCGCCGCCTCTCATACACCAGCGCAATGGACGACAGTGATGAGTATGGCGATGAGTTTGACGACACGGAGTTTCTCGATGCCGCAACGCAGGCCGAGAAAGAGAACACGCCTGCCTTCCCGCCCTCACCAAGGCCAGCCAAGCGGCGAAAGATCAGCAACGTAAATGAGCAATCGGAGTCTGTTCCGCGCAAGGCACAACGAGGACGTCGCCGAGGCCCATTCGTATCGTCTGATGAGGATGAAGACGCATTTGATGAATCTGATCAGACATTGTCTGATAAAGGCAGCAAGAGTGTCTCACCTGCAAAGAGCGTGCCTGCAAGTCGCAAGAAGAGAGCGCAGTCGAAGCAAAGTTATGATGAAGATGCATCGCCCGTCAAAGAGACTGCTGCGGATAAACGGAAAGAACGCATTCACGTATCCACCATCAACCTCGAGATGCCAGACACATTCTATACACAGCCACCTCCAACAGACTCCCCACCGTGGAAGCCGCGAGGAGCAATATGGACGAAGCCTGCTACCACGATTGGCGTTCATAAGCCATCAGCACCTGCGAAACAGAATGGGTTGGACGCTACGAGGAATGTGTCTTTGCCGGGTAGACAGTCAACATCATCTAGGCCCGCACCGCAAGCGCCGCCGTCTCCAGTTCCTTCAGACTCATTCGGGGATGTCGACATCGACATTGACGAGTCACCAAGATTACCAGTTCGGGCTGCAACGGCAACAGGTGCCTATGACTTCACCCAAGACCTAGCAGATCTCCCATCCGACGCCTTTGCCTCCTCATGTTCCTCGCCACAGAAGCAGGACGATGTACAAGTTACGTCAGCCAGAAAGCGTGTGGTCGCACCTCTCACTGGCCTACGGCAAACTACCTTGTTCGGTCGTGCGGGTGTTGATAGTACAATCGCCCCATCCCAAGTAAACAAGCGTTACAATTTTGTCGTCGACCAGAAGGCAGAGCCACCCACTCACCACAAGCTGGATCCAGAAGCAATCAAGACGTGGGTATATCCAACAAACCTGGGCACTATCAGAGACTACCAATTCAACATCGTCCAGAGAGGGCTCTTTCACAACCTTCTCGTCGCTCTTCCGACTGGTCTTGGTAAAACATTCATCGCAGCTACGATCATACTGAACTGGTTTCGATGGACGACGGAAGCACAGATAGTTTTTGTCGCTCCAACCAAGCCGCTCGTGGCACAGCAGGTAGAAGCCTGCTTCCATATCGCAGGTATTCCGCGCTCGTACACCACAATGCTTACCGGAGGCGTGTCGACAGGCTTACGCGCAGAAGAGTGGAAAGAGAAAAGAGTCTTCTTCATGACGCCTCAGACACTCCTAAACGACTTGAAGTCTGGATACGCAGATCCCAAGAAGATTGTACTGTTGGTAGTTGATGAAGCTCATCGTGCGACCGGCGCTTATGCTTATGTCGAGGTCGTCAGCTTCCTCCGCCGATTTAATACGAGTTTCCGAGTACTGGCCTTAACGGCTACACCTGGAGCTGATGTTGAGTCGGTTCAGAAAGTCATCGACGGTCTGGATATTTCCAAAGTAGAGATTCGAACGGAGAACTCTATGGATATCTGCAGCTATGTTCATCAGCGCAAGATCGACAAGAAAGTCTTCCAAAATACAGACGAGATGGAGATGTGTATGGAGCTATACAGCCAAGCACTACAACCCTTGGTGAACACAATAGCCGGTCTCAACGCTTATTGGAGCAAGAACCCCCGCGACTTGACGCCTTTCGGGTGCCAACAAGCCAAGAAGAAGTGGTTCCAAGAGGTCGGTCGAAACGCCAACCGTGGCCTTCAAAGCACGGTTCACACCATCTTTGCTATCCTCGCATCTATCTCCCACGGAATGGACCTACTGAAGTACCATGGCATGGGACCCTTCTACATCAAAATGAAGGAGTTTCAGGATGAAGCTGCCAAAACAAAGTCGAAGTACAAGAAGCAGATCCTCGATAGTGACGCTTGGAAGAAACTGATGGTGCGTCTCCATGGGTGGATCAACGACGACAACTTTGTTGGGCATCCAAAGTTGGAGTATTTGCAGCAGGTTATTCTGGATCACTTTGTTAACGCAGGTGATGGCCGAAACGTCGATGGCGCGCCTCCTTCGCAGACGAGAATCATGGTATTCGCCCACTTTCGTGACAGCGCCGAAGAGATCGCGCGCATCCTGAAAAGACATCAGCCCATGATTCGCCCACGCATCTTCGTCGGACAAGCGCACGGGAAGAATTCGGAAGGTATGTCGCAGAAGGACCAGTTGGAGGCTATCGAGAAATTCAAGAATGGCGAATTCAACACGTTGATTGCCACCTCGATTGGTGAAGAAGGTCTCGACATTGGTGAGGTCGATCTCATCATCTGTTACGATTCGAAAGCGTCGCCGATTCGCATGTTGCAGCGCATGGGCCGTACAGGTCGAAAACGCCAGGGACGAATCGTCATGCTTCAGATGGAAGGCAAGGAGGAAAACGACGCGAACAAGGCGAACGACAGCTACCTCAAGATGCAAGAACTTATTGCAGATGGAGGGCACTTCAATTTCCACGACGACGTATCTCGCAGGATTCTACCACCAGATGTCAAGCCAGTCGTTGACCGACGCGCGGTAGAAATCCCCGCCGAAAATTCTCAGAAAGACTGGCTCCCAGAGCCAAAAAAGGGAAGGCGGACAAAGAAGCCTCCCAAGAAATTCCACATGCCAGACGATGTCATCACTGGCTTCGTCACTGCAGGCCGTATGGGCGAGGAGATTGCACCAAAGGGTCGAGGGAAGAAAGCTGCTATGCCAGTATATCCCAGCGAGACAGCCTTTGAGATGCCACCACTCGAGCCGGTCCTTTTAGACGACTCAGCGATGCAGGATCTCGAGAGGCGATACCAGACAGTCTTCGACGATGATGACGCTCCTATGGTTGGGGGATTGGACCTGAGCAAATTTCCCGAGCGACAGCGCACCCTGCCTTACAAAACCCGACGAGTCGGGCCAGGTCGTGTCACACGGGCTTTTGCCGGTACTATGCAACGCATGCACGATATGGACACTGACCGCCTGGAAAAGTTCCAGCGCGATCTGCACTATTCTGATTGCGAATCAGATGCAGACGATGGTTTCGTTGTGTCACATACGGAGGTTGCGCCAGTCATCGCAGAAGACATGTGGGAAGACGATGAACCCGCTTCACCGGTCCTTCCGACGACCAAAGCAAAAGCAAAGCCTGGCCCGAAACCGAAAGCAAAGGCACCGGCGAAACCCAAGGAGAAGGCGCCACCAAAAGAGAAAGCGGCACCGAAACCAAAAGGAAAGCCAGTGCCGAAACCCAAAGAGATGGCACCTCCGAAGACCCCTAAAACACCAGCACCTCGTGGTCGAGCGCGGAAAGACAAACCAGCTGTGGAAACGCCGACTTACGACACCGACGCATTGGATGAAACACCGATAACAAAAACACCTAACTGGCGCGTGTCCAACCTCGCTATGGAAGGCAATGAGTCGTCTCCACCACCGACAGATCCCCGTTTCCGCCTACCATCCCAAGCCGACACAATTGGCTCGGACGATACGTTGGGTGCGGATGATCCGGAGGACCCTCTTGCATGGCAGAATGACTCGGAGCTGGCTAGCTTCATCATTGAAGGGGAGGAGGAAGAGGTAGTGCCTACATCCAGCTTGCCCAGTATTGATATCTTTGGTGTCGGGGCGGGGACGCAAGCAGTCGTCAAAGCTGCCACCAAACCAAAGCGGACACCCAGACGCGAGAAGCTCTTTACCAGCGATATCACGGACGACGATGCAGTTGTCAGCAGTGATAGTGACGATGATGCACCGCTCGTCAAGAAGGGTGCGAGTAGGAAGGACGCTGTCGTTCTTGATTCTGATTCAGAAGTGGAGGAAGACGCGCCTGTCGTTCAAAGGAAAAGAGGCAGACGGATTATAGACGACGACTCGGATGAGTAATAGATGAGGCATCGAATCGATCTTACGACCGTATAATTTAGATAATACAATGCATGTTCATTCAAACTGTTTCCAATACCCTGGCTCGAAGCCGTCCATTTGTTGAGTGTACGGTTCTCCAGCCTTCACCCAACCCTTGATGCCACCACCAAGTGTCAAAGATGTGATTTGATCATCGCCCTTGTCCGCAATATAGTCTGCAAACCAGCCAGAGCACCTGGGGCCTCTTCCATTCGATGCGCCTATGATGTGTCAGCGTGCTAGTAGGATCTTCTTGTTCGTGTTCCTAAATGACGATACCATGTGGCACGCATCTCACGCCACCAACACACGATCATCTCCTTCATGTCGCATCAAGAACGTCATTTTCATGAGGTGAAGAACTGACCACAATAGAACGCAATGCGTTTGACTCCCGCCCTTTTGCATAAGTCGTACAATACCCCGCGGTTCATGTAGAAAGAGTGGGCGGGAAGGTTTAGGCTACCTCTAATAGTTCCGCCCTCATAATCGGTGCGTCGCACATCGACAATGAGTAAGTCTGGAGACGAGAGATGTGACAGGGCCTCTTCGCGTGAAAGCGTCGGTGCGGTGCAACGTGGGGCAGGAAAGGCATCGGTCCAACTCCCCGTCGATTTGGTGGGCTCAGCCATGTCGAAGTATTAGCGGCCGTTATCAGGAAACTATTCTTAGGATATGCGCTCGCTGCAGTTGTTTTGGATATCTAACGCGCAAGTGGATTTGCAGAGCCGCACGAAAGGGTGGTCCGTTGAGCCTCCCGCTAGCGCGTCATGTCAGGGTCCAATTGGCATGTCACCGCCGCCACAGCCTTTGGTACTGGCCACATTGCTACAACCGTGGCCCGATGAACGACTGATTACAATTCCCTGGAATGCCGCGGATCTGTTCTAGTACGATACATCTGTCCCTTCCACGGTTCACTCTTTTGGCCTCTTGTGAATTCGGCTTAGGCTTCGTCTTTCATTTATCTTAGATTGCCTTGAGTCGGAACTTCCTACCACGTCCAGGGTCTGATTTCCGACTTGCGCCAACGCGGTTTCAATAATCTACACGCTGGCCTCTTTGCCTACCCCACACATACACTCGGCATTTAATTTACCGGAGAGACTCATATACCGAGGATACAAGTAGTTGTAAGTTTCCAACTCCTCCATCCCCTTGGGAGGCGCTGTCGCCGACGTTTACTGACTGGAGGACTCAAGTAGCCACATCATATCATCACCACGATGCGCTCCGCTGCGCAGGTGTTCTACCTAGCCGTCTTCTCGCTGCTGGGTAGCTCACACGCTGCGAGCCATGCTACCAAGTCGAGTAGTCCTCCGTCAGACGTCTGCGATGTAAGCAACAAGTCGAAAGCTCCACCGGCCCAATCTGGAGACTCAAATACTAAGACCGCCTTTCAGATATCGCCTGGTGCGATAGTTTCCGACGCTTGCGTAAGCTACAACACGCTCGAACAGCTCAACGAAGCCATACACCCATACCTCCAGTCCATCACGCAAAACACCGACTTCTTTTCGCATTACCGATTGAACCTGTACAGCAAGAAATGTCCGTTCTGGGACGACGAGAATGGCATGTGCGGGAACATCGCATGCGCGGTTAATACACTGGACAACGAGGAAGACATACCGCTCGTCTGGCGCGCAAAAGAACTCGGCAAGCTGGAGGGGCCTACAGCACAACATCCGGGGAGGAAGCAACAACGGGAAGAGAGGAAACGGCCGCTACACGGCAGCCTAGGCGAAAACGTCGACGAGAGCTGTGTGGTCGAGTACGACGACGAATGCGACGAGCGCGACTACTGCGTTCCGGACGACGAATCGGCGACTGCAAAGGGCGACTACGTGTCGCTTGTAGACAATCCAGAGCGCTTCACCGGATACTCGGGCGTCGGAGCTCAGCAGGTGTGGGAGGCTATATACCGGGAGAACTGCTTCAGTAAGCCTCCCAAGAATGCACCCTCCACTGGCAGTTCGTCACCACCTGGAGGATCGTCTTTTGGCGGGTTTGGAAACCAACAACAACTGCACGCCGCAAATCAGTTCCGCAACGTCATGCAGGAACAGGGCAAGAAGCAAAAGGTTCAGTCTGCGATTGCTCACGGTTCTCCTGTAGATAGCCTCGACCCTGTCGAATTCGACGATACCTGCCTGGAGAAGCGCGTCTTCCACCGCGTCATCTCTGGCATGCACGCGTCCATCTCCACGCACCTCTGCTACGACTACCTCAACCAGACAACAGGAGAGTGGGGACCCAACCTGGCCTGCTACGAGCAACGCCTACACAACTACCCCGAGCGCATCTCCAATGTCTACTTCAACTACGCCCTCGTCATGCGGGCTGTAGGCAAGATCAGGCAGCACATTTCCGACTACTCCTTCTGCTCCGAAGACCCCGAACAAGATCTCCGTACCAAGAACTCGGTCCTGCGCCTCGCATCCGCCCTCCCCTCAGGTCCCGAGATCTTCGACGAGACGGTCATGTTCCAAGACCCCGACACAATGGTATTGAAGGAGGATTTCCGCAACCGATTCAGGAATGTTAGTCGCATCATGGATTGCGTCGGATGCGACAAGTGCCGACTCTGGGGTAAACTACAAACGAACGGCTACGGCACAGCTCTCAAGGTGCTCTTCGAGTTCGACGAGGACGATTCCTCAAAGGACCCGCCGCTTCGCCGCACCGAGCTTGTCGCTCTCATCAACACGATGAACCGTCTTTCGCATTCACTGTCCGCCATCAAGGACTTCCGTCGCATGATCGAAGAGCGCGATGGCTTACCTAGCGACGTGGCTCCTGCGCTACCGGCGACCGACAAAGGAGTGTTGAAGACAAGACTCGCGCTCGAAGACTCTGACGAAGACAAACCAATCGACATCTTGACTGGCGGAGAAAAGATCCCAAGTTTCAAGCGAGACTGGGACGCGAGGAAGATGACCATGTGGCAGGAGGTTAAGGCCGAGTTCAACTTGGTCAAGAGAACATTCTACTACGTGTTGTGGCAGTGGACACAACTCCCCGGACGATTGTAAGTCATGAAATTACCCATAACTTACTAAGACACCAAACTAACAGATGGAACAGTACCAAGATCTTCATTCTCGAAATGAGGAGAGCCTACAACTGGTGGATGGGTTTCGTGCCCGGTCCGAGGAGTTGGGAGATTCGCATCCCGAGACGAGACGAGTTGTGAGCTTGTTCTCGAATCGAGACGCGTAGATGCGTAGATGCGTAGATGCATGCTGGTTTTAGATCGTACATGTGTTTCGATGCATAGCTTAGGCGTATTTGGGTATGATTGGGTTGGCATATATCGAAGGCATTAGATGGCGTTTACTTCATCTTGACACGCGCAATGCTATACACCTGGCACGTTTGAATATATCTTATCGCAACACACTCACCGTTCTCCTCATGCATTATGCGACGATGCGCTCACGCGACGTTCCCCAACCTCCGCGGCATCCATCGCGTCGTTCCACGCGCAATGACATATCCCACCTGCATCCCAACGCCGCGGTCTCAGCACCCCACTACGTCATCTCGGCCGACCTTCGCCCTCGCCTCGCCTCCTCATTTCCAATCCACTGTCTCCAAACCTTCCATCCGCGCACATCCGGTCGTATCGCGTGAATTAAGCTCTGCTAAGCATTGAGGAGAAGCTACACGCCTGTTTTCCACATATTACCCATTTGGGAAAGCGGAGAGGTGCGGAAGATGAAGTAGAGAGGGGAACAATGATGAGTAAAGTATACCAAAGGTATGCGTCTGTTTTCAATGGTGACTTCTCTGCGCGTGTTGCGCAAGGGATCGCCGGTCAGTGTTCGCGTTACCGTTATTGCCCTCGTCATCACGTCTACTAATCGTTGTTTACGTGTCGTTTACTGCAGACCGTGCCGCGTTCAGACTACTAAGCTTTTAGTTAAGCTACACGCCTATCATCCACGATTACCCAGAGCGGTAATTGGTAATCTAACAGAAAGAGAGGGGGTGCGAGAGGGGTTCAAGCTGTCCCACAGCGGGGTTCTGTGAGGGGTTTCGTCGTCTTGACTCTTGGGTACTCTGTTTTTCTGTGGTACTCTGAAATAATTTTGTGGTTTTGGGAAAGGTACCCGATGGATATTTGTGCCAAGGTGAGGAGAAGGCATACGCCTATTTTCTACAGTTGATGCTGGAGTTACTCAACGGGGTAAGGAAGGATGCGAAAGCGGTGTTTGCGCATGTCATGCGAGTGCGGCTCCCGGAGTTGTGCTGCTCGTCATACCTACGAGTTGTGGGGTTTGTTGCGTGTTGGTGATGATGGTTGAGGGGGGCTTTTCGCCTTCGGCTTACTACTTGCGGATGGGACGTTGAGGAACGCTTGGAAGTTTCGAGACGAGCGATAGCGCTGCTTTCGATGGTTACTGATTTGGGTATCTGATGGAGTGGAGATTAGGCTGTTAGAGTAAGGAGAACATGTACTGCTGTTTATCACCAAGCTTTTACTGAATAGCTGGAACCTGGTCGGCTTTCTTTTAGTTTGGTACAACATCCGTCAACTGAACAACATGACATGGTGGATGCTGTACTAAAGTGAAAGATGAACGATGAGTTCAAATTCAAACAATGAGTTTTGAATTACTTGACGAGACACGCAGGTCGTGAGCCGAGAGCCGCCTGACAAAGACTGCGAGGAAATCTTGTAGGCGTTGGAATATGATTAGAGAGAACACTGCCTCTGATCCCTAATGCCGCTTTCTCCCAGTACTTCGATTCGAAATTTGTTTATCAAATGACTGCAAGCTCGAGGTACATGTGGTAGTTTCAACGTCACCCAAAACGTAACATGTACTACCCAAACCATCAACCCACCGCTCCTTCCCGGACTCGCTCTAACCTAACCCAACGGACAGTTCTTTTCTAGAAATAGTAGTCTGCATTAGGTCTTCAGAAATCTGCAAGATAAAGCGAAGGAATACGCCTGTTTTCGACAGTTACCTGACTGGGACAAAACACCAGATGTTTGGGTACGAAGGAACACGCTTGTCAAGTGCTGGTTGCTTTTCTGCACGCCTAGTAGATTTGTACCGAGATCTGAACACATGCAAGATGAAGCGAAGGAATACGCCTACTTTCCATGATTGCCTGTCTGGGTAGGCCAAGTGACACACCGATGTTTGGTGTTGCTTTTTAGTGTTTGAGATGTTGGTACGCTTGCGGAGGCGTGTTTAGTTTGGAGGAATTCGAAGCAGGGTGCCGATGGCGATATATTGGTAGCACAGAGACGCGATGCGAGGTTTGCGACGCTTAAGCTCGTTGCGAGAAGGAAGAGGCGCGGATGGATTGGTATAGAAGTAGAAGTTATGTGTCCCTCAACGCTGCGTGTTTTACTATCGTGCCTGGATGCGACTACTCAAAATGCCAACAATTTGACGAGTGCATACGCCCGAAAAGACACACGGCGATCAACAGAACATGAGCGATCACACGTGACTTCTCAATTTACACCTGGGCAGCCTCACCAACGGAAAAATATGAGGCTCTCATACGCCTGCTTTCAACACCTACCCAACACCGTAAACGCACCCACTTCCTAAGGAACGAGCAAGCTACACCAAGTCTGACAAGCCAAACGCCTACTTTCCACGCCTACCTGTTCCAGTAATTTCTCGTCGTTGGCAAAAAAGACGACATCGACGTGTCGTTGGCGCGTCATCGAGAGAGGAGAAAAGTTTGCTTATTCCCGCGTAACCTTCCCTTCCGCGGGTACGAGTCGGTGAGCCACGGGCAAGCAGAACAAGCAAACCAATTTTTCTCCGTTGGCATTACCAAGCCTCCGCATCTACAATCTACGGTTTTCTTCAATGGGTAACTTTGAAGAGGCCAAGCTTTGGAGCCTGCAATCGATGGTTACTGTTTAGAGGAATATCGGCGAGGATGAAGCTGTTTCACCGTTATTGCCGTATCGAGTGCTGCGATCAATGCGCGAGTTTAGTGGATGGTGATGGGAAAGTGTTATTTCCGACGTATTGCCGAAGATGGTGGGTGAGGCGTGAGAAGGTTTTAATATAACCGTTTGGCGCCTGCTTTCGATGCCTACTCTATGCGGTAGGTGAGGAAGGTTCGATGCAGGGACGAGAGGTAGTATACGAGAAAGGTTGCGTGGTTGCTTTTGAGGATTGGTGGGTATACCCGCCTAGTTTTGATCCACCGACCGGGTGGACACTCAACGGGTATATACAGCCGAGCTCAAGCATTAACAACTACGAATGCCAGATAACCACCAGCCTAAGATTACAGCAGATCCTATTTACAAGTAGATGTAGCACAGAGGGCTACCGCCAAGGGTGTTGAGCACATCGCGAATCTTCACAGTCTTTCCGTTGACTCCCAAGACCAAGGGCTCGTCGATGGTGGCGTTGCGGGTTGGAGGCTTGTTCGACAAAGTCAAAGTACCGGTCACCTCGTTCGCCTCACGTGGGTGAAGTGTCTGCCAGATCCAGTAGATGCGGTCAAGCATAGCGTGGTGGAGCCAAAAGACGGGGTCGTTCACAGAGGAGTAGAGATCAGTTCCGTCGCCGCCCATGGTGTAGTGGCCTGATGTGTGTAGACCGAGGAAGCCGTCTGGGTAGCGACCTTGGATTTCGACCCAGAAGTCGCGATGCGTCTGAGAAGCTCTACCAATGGTTACATTCAGTAAGTTTGCCGTAGTGAACCACTTCTTGGGAATGTAAGGACTGATGTCTCGGCGCAGGCAATGAGGATTGTAGTCGTTGGGGTCGATGCCCAAATCGGGGAAGCCTTGCATACCAGGAGAAATCGGACCAATGTTCGCCACCGTGCTGTACTTTGTTAGCTCGCCGCAAGCACTGAGTTATGCGATGTTCTCACTTCTTGAAAGGGCCGCTCTTGACACATCCGCCTCCTTTTCCAGAGGGGATGGAAATTGTTCGGGCACCGGCAAGACTGCCATTGTGTGCGAAGAACTCGCCATCGCCACCCAGACTGGTATCACTTCCGTCGAAGACAGGGGACTTGTATATGTTGTCGGTATGTGCGAACCAGTTCCAGTACTTGGGAAGTTAGACATGTAAAAGTCACTCGAAGTGTCTGGTACTGACTGGTTGATAGCCCTTGTAGCCACATTCGTTTCGAAGGGCTTGCTCGTACGACCAGACAAAGTAGCGGTGCCAGGTGAGGAAGAGACCATTGCCATGAATGCCAAGGGTCTGGTTCACGTGGATGGCGACATAGTCGTCAAAACGCGTCTTCGCTGCTGAAGCCCACGATTTGTCGGACTTGGCTGGCAAAGTTCGCAGACATTGGACAGCTTTGATGTATGCTTTCCGCTCTGACTTGCTCAGGTGATCCCTTGTCGAGGTTAGCCAGCACTAATTCATGCGCGTAGTAAGCTTACCAGTCCCTCCGGATGGTTGTCTTCGCCAAAGAACAACCTTTGGGGGCCCTTTTTGAAACACTCTCATTTTGTTCAAGCGTTTCGTATGCGCTCTGCTGCAGTTGGGCGAGCGCCTCGAGAGGGTCTATTGCAGGGTCTATATCGATGACTGGAGTTGAGGGCGAGTCAAAGGGGACCGCAGCCACAAGGCTTACAGCCAACAGCTGCACGGCGGTTACAGCTTGTAACAGACGCATGGTGATGGTGATGGGATCGCTATGTGCAAGGTCTGGCGATTTAAGGAAGTAAGATCTGAATCCAAATCGACGGTTATATCCAATGCGAATGCAACCCTTGTTCATGCAAGGCCTTCGCCGCAAGCGTACTTCCGATTTCCAAGGACTTATATTAGAAGAAGCGGCTCTGCAGCGAGTCCAGATGAATAAATCGATCAACGCGGCTTAGAGTATAGGCGCGCCTAATGAAAGCCTGCATCCTCCCCGTACTTTAGCCCAAGAGTGTCCTGCTATGGGGCCATAGCTTGTACTGGAAACGCGGTGCAGGCTAGCCTACGGCCTCCTTAGGTACGTCTTTGACCTCGGAGTAGAGACTGAACGGCCGGTAGCGCTCGTCGTGGGATATTACCATGCGGAATTATATGCTGCCAAGATTATACCATGTCAGGGCGATGGGAGTGCATGCTTCCCGAGCACGGCACTGTGTGTGGTCGCCCATTGTTCGCTTGGAGTGGCGAGTAAACGGCTGTCACGATGGGGACTGTTTTTGGTAGTGAAAACTTCGCGCAATGCGATGCAGAAGGATCATCTGTCGACCGTTTAGCTGGGTGATCTAAAGGCTCCTGAAGCAAACTTGGCACTGCTGAGATCTGGGATCTGTGGGATTTTGTTGGATCGAAATGACATATGCATACAAAGGCGGAAGGTTGGATATCGACCAATGAGACGCCGTCCCACACCATGCGACTATATCTGACTGCGGCATGAGATCGTCAAAGGGTCGCGTAGGAGTGGCGCCTTCCTGCGGTGAATGCGAGACGGGACGGAGACGGGAAAGAGCCCTTGACAGTGGTAAACGATCCCTAGTACCTGCCGCCCCACGAACAACCGGCTCACTCCCATGACTGCGCCGCTTTATACCAGAAGCCTTTAGACCCAGAGACATTTTCATATCCCACGCAATGTCACCAAACAAGCCCATTGGCGATCAAGTAACAAATCGCAAAGGCTTCCAGCTCTGCCTCTGCCTATTCAGCCTAAACTGATCCTTCTCGTATTGCCACCCCCGAGAACCAACATGTCGGCTTGTTTACCACGGAAGCGAGCTCGGTTTTCGCTGCAAGTTGAGACCATTCATGCGCGTAGCGGACCATTAGCCACCCGTCGACCCGTCGAACCGTTGCGCTGGGCTGGCTCGTCTGCGATGGAATCCTACCCTTCGGCCCGATTACTTAGTGCGCGAACGCATCTGGGACCGGTGCATGCTGGAAGTAGATGCAGGTGCGGGTTGCATGCAGGCGATGCCGTCTCTTTGCCATGCAATATGGGCAATATACAGTCGTTTCAAGAAAAAGCAAAGCGCAGGAAGGATTCACCAAGAAATTGGCACGCAAGGATGCCACATCTCACGGTAAGCAGGCTGACGAACCAACAAACGAGGCCATGTCACCTTCTAGAACACTGCTACCGTGCTTTGAAGTCGTTGCAGAGAGCTCCGTATCCTGCTGAGCATGAAATGTAGGAAGGGGGCACGTAACACAACATATCCTTGGTTTCGACAGGATGCATGACACTTATGTCTCCTCCCTACGACTCCATTTTGCTAGACCCTCATCTTTGCCGTCACTATGGCACCAAAGAATACCGACCCGGTGCGTGCAGCAGAGAGTAATCTGGGATACCTCCTCGGCGTTACCGCGACTTTCCATGTCATCGCACTGACCTTTGTTGGAATGCGCATGTACGCCCGCTTCGTCGTCGTGAAGGCGTTTGGCAAAGATGATGCCCTCATACTAGCGGCAGCGGTGAGAAACTATCGTGAATCAAGTTTGAGTGCTTCTCTAACTGCGTGGATTAGACTTGTGTTTTTCTTGGTGGAATGGTGACCTACATACTAGCTGGCCAGCATGGCTTAGGTCGTCACACCGACACTCTCGAGAAGTCAGATCATCAAGAGTACCTGAAGTTGACCTTCATACAAGCTCTTGTATCCAGTATTGGGGGTATGGCCTTCCTCAAATTGTCTGTCGGGTTCTCACTCCTTCGTTTGGGTGTTCCCACGTTATACAACAGGATACTCTGGTCGCTTATCGGTAAGTCCATGGTGCTTTGAAAAGCGAATTAGTTAAGTCTACTAAGCATTGTCAGCATTTGTCTGTCTCTACACACTGGTATCTTGGAGTGAATGGGCTGCCGTGTGCAAACCTATCGCCGGCTTCTGGAACAAAGACCTCAAGCCAACCTGCGTGCCTGTGAAAATCCACAAGAGCTTTGCGCTGATGAATACAAGTAAGTATATCCTCCGCCACTCTTACTGTACGTGGTGGCTGACTAGATCGTACGCAGGCTGCAACATGTTTACGGATATCTGCTTTGCAACCATCCCTATTCCCATCATTATGGGGTTGCAGATGAAGCAGAAGACTCGCATGTACCTCATCTTTGTTCTGAGCTTGGGCTACACGTAAGTTCCCCAGCATCGGGAAGGGAGGCTTGAGTTGAGGCACAGAAGCTAACCCAAGTCAAGAGCGGTGGCCATGGGCATCGTCAAGGCCGTTGTCCAGAATACAAAGAGAGGCGACCCCGATCAGTCATTGTAGGTCTCTATGTCTATACTTGAACCAGTATGGACGTTTGCTAACAGTATGCCAGCACGAACGACATCCAATTCTGGGGCTTCCTCCAGGTGAACGTCGGTATCATAGCCGCATGTGCGCCATCGCTCAAGCCCCTCGTCGGTGGCATTCTTCGCCTCCCCTCGACACAGTATTCCAACAGCCGAAGTAACTTCGCCTCGGGATCGAACGGCCAGTCCAACAAAAGTAGATTGCAAAGCAGGATACGCGTTAGCACTCGGATTGAGAGCAAAGGGTGGATAAGGACAGATAGCGATATCGAGCTGGATGAACGAGAGTCCTTTGGCAGCCAGGCGCACATAACGAGCAACAAGGATGGAGTTCGTCAATGATAGACCTGTTTTATAGCCGATATTCATCTTTGCACCTCATACAGGGAAAAACCTGAACGGGTCTGCAGCCCACATCAACATGGAAACTTGCAAAGTTAGTGTCCTAACGTCGATGTAGGCTCCGGACCTGTTCAATCTCTTCTTAGGTTGACGTGTATGAATAGCACGAATGCCTTGGGGCTAGTTCTCCTCTGTGCGACCTTGGGAAAAGACCAGTGTCTTCGTTCCTCACATTCATTTGTAGAATTGAAGCTTGTGAAGATGCCTATGTCGAAGCAGATACCTAGGTAGGCAATCACAGAGCACGATACGACTGTGCAAGTAAACAGCTTTTCCAGTGGTCGCGCATTTAAGAAGGCAAGAAACCTGTCCCAAAGTATGCGATGCGCTGCCTGTGGACGTCAGATGTGTAATGAGTGTCGTGCGCGTGGTTCATGCCAGCAGTGGGCGACCTCGGGATGACGCGGGCACTAACGGGACCCCTCGGCCCCACCCCTCACTCCGCACTCATGTTACCTATGTATGTGTCTACACAACTGGACCCTACTAACTCACAGTATCCCGTACATTCAAGAAGGAGACTACCACATCGCCGTGTAAGTCAATGATCGATAGGGATGTCATTCGTAATGCGGGATGAGTCCTCACGGCAGTATTGGGCGAGAACGAAAACTGTTTACATATGAGAAGGCATCACCAGGGAAAGCATACGACGGGTAGTGCGAGGCAAACCTATTCGTTTCATCTCGTTTACGGTATAATGATACGCCAGTTATACTCCCTTCGCAACTTTCGGGGAACAGTGCGGACCCATCACGATTGACCTGTACCATGTTTGGAGCGACAACAGACAAGCTACTCGCAGTCTATTTGCCGGAGTTGTACCTCGCGCCGCCCTGGCCATCGTTGTAGTAGGTCGAGCCCTGGAAGTGAATCAGCAGGCATCCATCTGTGTTAGGCAATTTTGACGTACGTTGGGGTTGCTGTAGTAGTACGAGCCATCGGTGTTGGAGTAGTGGTAAGAGTTGGGGTTCGAGGCGCTGGAGCCATAGTCGCGGGAGCAATAGTGGTTTCCCTACGAAAGAGTCTCAGTCAGGCGTATGTAAAATGAAGAAGTAAGATCATACCTGGCTGTTGGTACCGGAGCTGGTTGTGGTGTAGCCTCCGCTGCCAGTATTGCCAGAGGAAGCCGAGCCGGAGCCGGAGGAGTTGGATGTGTTCTGGGACGACATGGCAGTTAGCTGACTGACGTGGGTATTCGGATAATTGAGTGGAAGCTGAGTGATATCAAGTGTTAGAAGAAAAGAGGAGAAGAGGAAGGGGTGTTAAATGTACGAGGAAGGCAGTGCCGTGAGGAGAACCCCCGCACTGACTTCCCGCAACGGCTTACGCTTTCCTCGTTCTGATCCCACGAGCTTCGCCACGCGGAACGCGCTACTGCTTGTATCAACGTTTGACCGCTATCGCGCTGTCACGAGCTTACCAGAAAGGACGGGCCGCTACTACAATCTTGGTATAGTGACACGGCTTTCAGACTACGCGACTCATGCGACGGGACGCGTTCAATTACCTTGGGCTCAAGATTTTACTGGCATTAGAAGGGAAGTAGAGTGTTCGAGTTACAGTATCATTTCTTAGGCTCGCAAGGAAAGCAAGTACAGCCCGACCATACAGCTTCCTTCCCTTCCTTTTCGTCTATCACATCCTTTGTATCTTCACCAGCTCCAACCTTGAATCCGTGTCATCTGCATATGACAACGTGTCTCAGTGCGCCGCTCCAACCTCTTAATGTTGTCGCGCCGGAGATGCCTGTAGAACGGCTTCAATGACAGAAAGCTCCACCAGCTCGGCAGCCGCCTGGTTCTGTTCCCTTTTCTTCTTTACTCTGTACCATGCCACGAACAAAACGAACCCTACGACGGCCGACGAACCGATTGCGGAGATGACGATGAAGATGATGATGGTGGCGGAGGTAGTCGCTTGCTGTTTCGCGACCTCTGTGACAGGCGAAGATTTGGGTTCAAAGAGACTCATGGCTGTTTGCTGTCGTTTGCTCTGAATGCTGACTTGTGGTAGTTGTATAGAGAATGGCGTCGCGTCGGTTCAGACGATGTCGTATCTGGATCTTGTCGTAGCAACAGTGCCCTACTGAGTCACTCGATCGTCTGACGTCCGAAGCGTCTGCCGTAAGTTGAAGGTCGAGACTGTTGGCCCAGGTGGTATCGGGTTCGTCCAGATGAGCGCCGGTCCGTCGAGAATGACAACGCCGCGTTGTCGAAGGCGCCTCCACCGCGCTTTGCTGTGTACGTTGGACCAACGGAGGAAGGCGATGACGAGGATGATCTGGAAGAGCAGGATGATGAGGACGCCGACGATGATCAAGAAGAGAGGCCAGTCAGGAAGATTGAGAGGCGCCAGTGGTACATGAGTGGATACTGGAAGTGCCGGCATGGTTGAGAAGATGGCGTTACCGGGCTGCGTGAGAGTGAGGATACAAAAGAGAAGAGCTTATCGGTGAGTTGTGAAAAGTCTGCGCGCGCGACAGTTGTGATGGGGTGAAGGTGAAAAGACTTGGACCGCGGACTTGACGACGTGCCTACCAATCTATCCAGATCCGTTTGCACGCTGCGCGATCGGCTCTCGACGCGTCCATCGCGCGAGACAGCCGCTTCTCGCCGCATCTCCTTCTTTCTTTCACTCTACGAGTCCTCGAGACGTATACATCCGGCAGAAGTCCCAGGGAAAATCGGGGGAGAAGAGGTTGTAGCAGGCAAACTGATTAGGAGGTTGGCCGGAAAACTCCTAGGGAGGTGAATGTGGGTGGTAAGCCACCATATGCAATGTCAATTGAGTGGGTGACATATCGCTGTAGTAGGCAAGTCGTTTGTTGGTCGGTTACTCTATATAGATGAGACATGTTGTAGTTCTCATAGTTTGAAGGTAAAGGTAGAGAAGAAGGTGGGATATTCGCTCTCGGACAGGCAGCATAGATGTGTAGTGCTACCAGGATTGACGCTGCTGGTCGAACCATGGGTCAAACTTTGATGCTCAGATGCCACATCCAGGTACTACCAAGGCGGCGACATGGGAAGCTATGATGGTATTCCCAATCCGATGTATCTGCCAGGTGAAGTTGCATCACTTTAGGGTTAGAGATATAGCACATGTAACAAGACTCTTGCCGCAGACATTAATTGTGGGCCTGCGCTATACTCTGTAGAAAAGAATACGTATGTCTTAAGATATGTTTTCTTGCTTAGCTGCAAATGTTAAGACTTTGTTGTAGTCTCTACAAGGTACTATGCCTAAATAAAATACCAGAAGGTAGATTGACGTATTTATCAGACCGCTTCTGCATGATTAACCCTTTGTCTTCTGCACACTTCCATCCCAGCGTACTGCACATGACCCATCCGGCAAATAAAGAGTACCTTCAACACCAGGACTTTGTCTCCTCGAATACTGTGAGCGCCCAACGCGAAGAACTCCACTAGCGAATCCGCTCACATGATGGTCATAGCCGTCGCGCGACTCCGATATGAAGACATGGCCATGTCTACGGCGGCTTTTGGCCCGCAATGCACTACAAGCCCGCTCAGCATTTGGTGAAAGTGGCGATAGTGGTACCAAATTCGCCTCTGATGTGCAGACATCCCGAATCCGTCGCATCAAACTGATCGTATCAGGTGCTGAAGCATCGACATCAAGAAATCATTTCTTGGTTGCTTGTACCACATACGAGATCATTCCCGCTTTCGTACTTCCTCAGCATCACATCTTCTCCTTCTCCCTGACCGGACTCAATATCGGCTGAAAAGCTTTGATCTGCTACAAAAGCCATTAGTATACTCCCATCCGAGCATCATGACATCACCAAAACATACCTTGCCCATCCATCCCCCCTCACCTCGTTCCGCTCGATCTATACCCCTTGCATCTCCGCCCATATCTTCTCCCCTCTTTCTATCTCTTCCTCCACACCTACAGCACACCACTTTTCTCAGCACAGCGACAACCATAAAGAAAGCCATCATAGCGAGGATGTAATTCACGCCCAGTACTATTAGGTAGCTGACACCGAAAAGATTGTCGCGCGTACAAAACCCAGGTCCTAGATTCCAGGACCGGATCATGGGGTCGATGAGCTGAGCAATGTACATTGGACATTTGTGGAGTGTGGGGTAGTCAGGGAAGGAGGGCGCGGGGCTCGAGTGTGGTAGGTGCAGGGCCGGGTAGGTGATGATGATTTGTGGCATTTTGAAGTACGTAGATATCTTGAAGACGGCAGTATAAGGCTGTGGATTATGAAGTGCGGAGTGTTTGTGGGTGTATACGTCGAGTTATGGTTCTTTGTGAGCTGAGGTGTATGAGTGGCCGCTGTCCCAGAACCGATGCGCCGCAATTTACATGACTGCCTTGGTGTTACACGGCAGCCACCGGGTTTCTTGGATGCGGCGTCGCCCTGTCTTAGTTAATGTGCGGATGCTGAGCGTCACTTTATCTGCCATGGCCTGAAACGCGCGTCATTGTTTCGTATACATGGGGATGGCCTTGCGCATTGGCCTTGGAAGGGTAGTTGGAAGATTAAGGTTTTGAAATGCGATAGATTGTTTCAATGGGTACATATGCGCTAAATGCGATATTTGGGTTCGTTTTCGATGACCCGAAAGGTTGGTAAAATGCTCTTTACCTAGTCCTTCCATTTCCCGCTCCATCCCTGCCGTGCCGCCTGCGCCGTCTCTGCCTCATCCCCACCATCACCGTCTAAGTACCCAAAGTATTTTCTAGGCCAGATATTCAGCCCAATCTTCTCACCTTCGCCTACCGGCAAGCCAGCATGCACCACTCTCCTATCGCCCTTGCCATGCTTGTCCAGATTAACCCAGAACACTGCATTCCCTTGGATTGGTTTGAATTTGATGCCTTTAGCTTCTCCATCCATCTCTCCGTGAGCTACTTTGCCGCTATAGAGACCTTCTAAATCGGTAGACGAAAAAGGCTCGACTAGAGGGAAAGACGTATACCCATCCGTGCAATTATCGCGCAGAAAGACGAAGAAAGACGCGACACGGTTGTAGTAAACCCGCCTGCCATTTTCGAGAGTGGTGATCTGGTGTTCAGGCCAAAAGTCCGTATGCAGGTTGTACTTCTGGCCAGGGAAGTAGCGCACCAGTTGCGGAATGCTAAAGGGCTCGGAGGAGAGTAGCATGGAGCCCATGAACGTTCGTGCGCGATTGAGAAGACATTCGACAAGTAGGTCTCCCATTGGGAGCGGCGCGGACTGAGAGGTTCGCCCTGTTACACGCTGCGTGTTGCCTCGCGAGCGGCTGATGAAAGATTCGGCGAACTCAGGAGAGCTGCGGGGATTAGTGACTATTTGCATTCGCTATGTACCGTCTACAATAAACGGAGGCGAGTATGCGTACCCGAGCTTGATAAGTTCCTCCGTTTCTCGTGCTGACGTGAAGTTGTTGATGTAGATCAAAAGAGGATCGAGAGATATGATCTCAGTCGTGTACTGGTGGCCTGCGCATGCTTCGGTTAGGTTCTCTGAACTCAGCGACTCTTGTGAGCTGGCTGATGCCGATGTAGGCAGGTACGATTGGAGCAGTTTGGGCAAGTACGCGTGAAGTATAGTCGGGAGCGTCTGCTGAGCGCCTGCATAAAAGATGCCGAAGGGAACAAGAGGAATCAGTAGCAGCAGTAGGACATTCGTGCTACGAGCGCCGACCTACAAGACGTCAGCCGTCTCTACGGAGAGAGTCCGGGTATTCCTTACGAGCCCTGACTTGCCTTCCATCGACGATAGCATCGCTGCGTTCACGCCTTTCTTGTTTTCGAGATTCTTGTGCGCCATAGCTAGATATCGCGTTTATGCCTCGAGGTGCCGGTAACTAAGAATGCGATGGCTATCGCGCACATGCGGGTAGCAGCGCCGATGAACGCATGGCGACAGTGCGATTATGTGCGGGGTGTGTTGCGTATGTGACGGCGGTACTGTCTGGCGGCATACGTATTGCGAAAGGTCTTGTAGAGTGATCTGTACGTGCTATATGCATATGAGCTGTGCATGACCAAGAGTCTGGGGTAATATCCGGCTACAGCACCCCGGTGCTGGGATACATGTGCGTCGTCACACCTACAAGGTCTTACACGTACCGAAACCAGACAAGCAGTAGAAACATTGCCCGTTCATTTTGGAACGCAAGTGGTAGATATGATGAAAGATGTGCATTGGAGATGCGCGATGTGCAGCTGCGACCGCTATCGTGGGAACAATTCAACTCCGCCGCTACCCTTTCGGAAAACCATTCATGGTGTCGTGGTACTCCAAACGCCGTGCTAGACTTTTATGTACAAACCCTTGAAGGCCAGACTTTTCATCCATGTGCGCTTCGCCCTCTTACAGCCAGAGCCAGGAAAGGACAAATGAAAAGTCGATCAGTTCGTAGAACGTTATTGGCTTACGTCAGACCTGCAGAAGAGTTTTAGACTTCATCCTCCACGATCTCCTCCTTAGCGGGATCGATTTTCATGGGGGAGCCTCCGGTGTCAGCGTCCTCGTCGGACTCCGCCTTGACAGCTGCGGTACGTTAGCATTGAACTGGGTACACATGAATAAATATGAACAGGTCTACAGCCTACATCAAGCTGGAAGCTTGCAAAGTAGGTGACCCATCGTCCAAGTAGGCTCCAGGGTGTGCTTACTCTCGTTCTTCTTGCCACGGGGAGCAGCCTTCTTCTTAGGGGAGGACTCGCCGTCGACATCCTGCTTCTTGGCGACACGCTTGCGAGGAGTCTTCTTGGGGGTCGCGTCGGCACCCTCTTCGCCGTCCTCTTGCTTGGCGGCAGCAGCCTTCTTGCGAGGAGTCTTCTTGGGAGTAGCCGGAACGGCGCCGTCGGGAGAGGGTGTCATCAACTTGAGCTTGATCTTGGCCCAGGCGTTGCTAGCGGAGCGCGGGTTGCCCATACCGGCGTAAGCGGCGAGCTTCTCGTAATCGATCTATAGCGGGTGTTAGTAGTGTGATAGGAATAGAGAGGGTGTGGTGACCTGCCTCTGGAGGACCGGACTTGAGGGACTGCATGGCCCATCCGAGGAGCTGGAGCTCGCGCTCGGTGAACTGAGGAGAAGAGCCATTGGCGACGGCGGTGTTATCGTTGTCAGACATGATGAATCTTCGGGGTGTGCTTGAATGTTGGTCGCAGTGTGTTGGTGCTCAAGTTGTAAAGAGGATGCAGGAGGGAGACGGATGCAGATTATGAATGCGGCGGATTAGCGCGATGGCGGGAAAGTGAAGGTGAGCACACAAGGATGGACGGCGCACACAGATAAGCCAAATACGGCCCTCACCTCGACTTCATGATGCGAGACCCTGGATTGAGCACGCGCTATTGGTCGCCTACCATCGGACACGCACACGTGCGCCACGACGAAGTGAAGGTGAGCCGCACCTCGATATCGGACTGCCTTACGTGATATGGTATGGAAGCAGACATTTCGGAAACCAGAGGTCTTACCCCCTCATGTCTTGTATAAATGATATGACGATAGCTCTTTCTTGCTTGCTATTCCATGAGCAAAAGTGGCAGTCAATGCAAACGACTGTTCGCATACTCGCAACGAGCTCTATTGTATTGCCACAACGAAAAGCGCTTATTCGACGAGACGAGACATGACATCTAGCATGATCAAAAGAAAGCCCTGAAGAGCGCTGACAACACGTCATGATGGAAGTGAAAGAGTTCGTCCTTGACGACGGAAGTCGCGATTGTTGAGAGAAAGAGACAGAAACAGGCCGCTGCTGCCACAAGCCTTGTGACGCGAGGACAAACACCCTTCCTGAAATGGACAACAACCCATACAACGCGATAATCAGCGACAACGAAAAAGAGAGTTGAGGTGTTGTTGCGTGAATTGACGCGTTGCGGGGATGGGGTACCAACGCCTGTACTCGCCTGACTCGTGTGGGCCGGCCAGCGAATCGCCGACTGACGAGCCGCTGGAGATTGAGGGGACGGGGCTAGGACCCAAGCGATACTCAAGCAACCCGACCTTGATCACGCCCGAGCGATACACGCCCAAGACCCGCATCAGAATCATGGCGGACCCCATTGACAGCGCCCTGTGAGGCTTCCCTGACCCCGCCTTTCCCGCGGCGATAGCTAACAAGCCGTGACAGCGACCTCCTGCGCCGACTGAACCCCAAGGACGTCAAGCGCAATGTCGACCACATTATCCAGCTCAACCCCTCGCTGGAAGAGGACCTGCTCGAGTCCGTCGACATACCACTCACCGTGAAGAAATGCTCCAAGACGAAGCGCGACTTCCTGTGCTGCGACTACAACCGCGACGGCGACAGCTGGAGGAGTCCGTGGAGCAACGAGTTCGAGCCGCCCATTGAGGAAGGTGTCACGCCTAGCGATCGTGTCCGTAAGATGGAGGTCAAGGCGAACGAGGCTTTTGACGTGTACCGGGAGCTGTGAGTGCACACAGGGGAAGGGGCAGCATGGAGAGCTTGGCTGATGCAGACAGGTACTTCGAGGGCGGCATATCGAGCGTGTACCTGTGGGACATGGACGATGGCTTTGCAGGCTGTGTTCTGCTGAAGAAGGGTAGGCAGTCTCGGGTCTATACAGGCATCACATGCTAACGCACGCAGCCGTCAACCCCACGCCCAAGAGCTCCGGCAGCTGGGACAGCATCCACGTCTTCGACGCCCAAGACCGCGCCCGCACCTCGCACTACAAGCTCACCTCCACCGTCATCCTCTCCCTCGGCACCGACAGCGAAGCGCTCGGTGGTCTTGACCTCTCCGGTAATATGGTACGCCAAGTGGAAGCCGACATGGCCGTCGAGGATGACACCTCGCACGTCGCCAACATCGGAAAGATGGTCGAAGACATGGAGCTCAAGATGCGCAATCTGCTGCAGGAGGTGTACTTTGGAAAGGCAAAGGATGTTGTGGGTGACCTGAGGAGCATCCCATCACTCAGCCAGACGAACCGGGACCGCGCGACACAGAGGGAGATGATCAACAGCATGGGTCGGTAGGAGTAATGGTATGTGTAGGAGGATGCATAGTGTGGCATAGATGATATCAATCGATTCTGGCTCCAGCGGTATACCCACGAGGACTGGACTATCTCCAACACAAGACAGGCTTTTGCATGTGATGAACGGCTGGCAGTGACGGGACCCCACAGAGCTACGCGTGGAAGGTTTGGAAGCCGCAGTAAGTGACATGCTATCATGTCGGTCGTAGACTGACTGCACGTAAACTTCGTACATCTTGTGCTTGAGATATGCACGGTAGTCCCTTCCCTGATCCCTACGCAGAGGCAATGCATAGTCTGACAAAGCGACAAACGCTCGAAGCGTCCGAGACAAACATTCCACAAAAGGCTAGTTACTTCCTACCAAACACAGCAGCCACTATATGAACACGTACATCCCCAGACACATCAGCCACCAATCTCAAGACAAGACAAGACTCAATTAAAGCTATTCACCCTAGCAAGTCCACTGCCCCAGATGACTAGCCCACCCGCAAACCGTAAGCGCTCACGGAATCTATCAACCAGTTCCGCATCACTACCTTCAGCAAAGCTAGCCGATCCGCCATCTGATCGTCATCGAACGTCTGCGATGGACCATGCAACCGAATCTCCACGCGCAGTCAAAGAGGACACAGATGCAGACGACATGAGTGGAGAAAACAAAGTCTCGGCGGAAAGCACTCTGGAGCGTGAAGAGGCAGAGACACTTGAAGAGTACAAGAACACAATGCCGAACCTGCACGAGATCAAACAGGACCCCGAATCAGTCGCACCCGGTGCTACGACAGTTTCGCCGACAGCGCCTGTCGCAACACCCGATCGTCGGGCGATAGCTCGGAAGGTGTTCAATCAAAAGGTGGACGAGCTCGCAGCTGACCTCATTACCTCTTCGAAACAAATCATTGAAAAGGCCATTGATAAGGTTGTTCAACTAGGGGAGGAATATCGCCAGCCTCTTATAACGATAGCGAGGATAGCTGCTAGAGATGAAGGCCGCAAGGAAGGCTATGAACGAGGTTATGCGGCAGGCTTAGAAGAAGGCAAGAAGTTGGGCTATGAGCAAGGCAAGGACGGTAGCGATGAAGAAGGCAAGAACGTTAGCGGCGAGGAAGGCAAGAAGAATGGCGACAAGCTTGAGAAGGCCGACTCAGAACTTTCGTCCAAAGCCATGTAGAAGCGAAGCCATAGCTTGTGCCAGTCGAAAAAGGTCATGGGTGGTTAGACATGTAGTAGGTAAACCAATGGAATCAATGCGCTGCGCCAATTCAATAGAATCTGTAGTTGCCTGTCCTGCTGGGGCGATACGGTTCGGGCCTAGCGCGGCTTCCGTTTCGTGTCGCACCCGTGGACTCGACGCGACCTCTTTCCCTCTCCCTTCGTCCTTGCCTTACTCTCATGGCGTCCACCCACCAACAACTGCCTGACGTGACCTTCAAATCATTGCCATTCATCACCCTACACCAACAACGCAGTGAGATCCTATACTGCATATCAAGCGCCCCGAACCGTGCCGCCCGCCGCTTACGCGTTCGTCCCAACAGGACGCCCTTTATCGACAAGCTGGTTACTACCAGAATCTTTCATCATCATTGCGAAAACAAAATGCCTCATCGTCAAGTACACTTACCGGATATAAATCCTAGGGTCGACTGCTAAAAGCTTGCCGTAGCTCCGAGATTCGCCAATCTCCGGCTATGGACGTAACGCAGATCTTCCGCCCGCAGTGTCACCACCAACTCGTTCGGTATATTACAGCTATTATAGTTACAATATGCAGTTATCTCGAATACGGTTGACAGGTTATTCCACTTGCAACTGAGGTCCTACCAGCCTTGCTTAGGCATACTATCACACCCTACGCACGGGTGCACTATTGGCCAAGGCTTAGTTATATCTAGACTTTAGTAGTTACATAGGTAGATACTTATTAGTAAGAATACATCTTAGTAAACCTTATCTTTAGACACCTAGCTATATTCTTCTATACTTAAAAAGGCTCTATTTTTAGTATCTCTCTAACTTCTCTATCTTATATTAAATATACTACTATAAGCTAAGCTACTACTATATTTAAATTAGTTTTTACTTATATTACTAAAGTCTTTTTAGCTAAAAAAAAAGATTCTAACTAACTACTTAGTAACTATAAGAGTTATATAAAAATTAGATAATAATATTATATTAAATTATAATATTATTATAGTAAGACTTAAAAGAAGTACTTAAAGATAAAATATATATATATAAGCTATTAGCTTAAAGTAAGCCTAATACTTAAAAAACTAAACTATTATATATTCTTTTCTAAAAGTGCTTAAAGTTCTAACTAAGTATTAAGAATATTAAAATAAAATTTTATAAGCTTAGCTATACTTTCTAAAAAAAACTTAGACTATATACTCTAACTAAGAAGTAAAGTATAATATAATACTATTATAAAGCGTATAAGTAATAAAGAGATAAAGAAAAATAAAAGTTATAAAGTTAATAAAAGATATAAAGGTAGTATATATTCTTATATAGAATAAAGACTTTAAGTAAGATAAAGTCTAGAAGTAGAGTAGAGTTTAGAAGTAGAGTAGAGTCTAGAAGTAGTGTAAAGTCTAGAAGTATAGTAAGATCTAGCTATAAACTAGAGTACTTATATAAAGAACTCTATTTTAGATATAAATATAAAGTTATAAGTAAAGTAGTTAGAACTAACTACTTTAGAGCTAAGAATATCTATAAATATTTTAGTTAAGTAGAGATATACGCTATAATTAGCTTAATAAGCTTTATAAGTAATATAGTTAAAAGAGTTTATAAATAACTAGCTAGTTCTTTCTAAGCTCTTATTTAATAAATAGAGTAAAGTAACTATAAGCTTTTTATAGTTATTATACGCGTAAAATATATTATAAAGTTTTAGCTTACTAGAGTTATAGTTATAGTAATTCTAAATAGACTTTTTACTTTTTTATAAGTTAAAGTATAGTTACTAGTAGCTAGTTTAGTTATTATTTATTTATTCTATCTTATACTATAAGTAGCTATAATAGCTAGTATAGAGATTATTTATTATATTATAAATATAGAAATTAAGAATCTAAGTAATAATATACTTAGTTTTACTATTATTAGTAAAATAGATCTTAAATAAAGTATAATTAGTAGCTTAGAGCTATTTAGATAGTACGTTATCTTTATAAAGCTATAAAAGCTATAAGTAAAATACTAGAAATAAAGCTTTAAAGCTATTAGAGAGATCTAATTTATAAGCTATATTATTAATAATATATATAATCTAGTAAGAACTTATATTCTTATAGTCTAAGAATTTTACTAGTTATTTAGTATAAATATACTTAGTATTAAAAAGAATTTAGTTACTAATAGTAAAGTGTAAAGCTAGATAGTAATAGATATTAGTAAACTTCTTTTATTTAGTCTAAGACTATATAATCTTATTATAAAAGTATTATTATATTATATTAATATAACTAACTAGAGTATTAGTAGCGCGTAGTTATATAGATATAGTTATAGTATTAGTAATAGCGTATAGTAGTTTAAAACCTATATAGAGCTAGTAGCTCTTTATAGTCTAGAATAGAAAAACTCTAGTTACTAAGCTAATAGCTAAATTAGCCTTAAATTTAGTAAAAAAAAGAAAATAAGTCTAGTTATTATTATAGTTCTAGCTAGTTTCTACTCTATTACGTTATTACGTAACTAGCCTAGCCTAATTAGACTAGACTATCTACTAGCTTTCTATATATAAAAGTCTTGCATTTTTATATATTATATAATAGCTTATATTTTATTAAATATATTTATCTTTATTTATATCTTTTATATTATATAAGCTTTTTTTTAAGATAAGTCTATCTACTTATATATAAATTATATATTAGTTATAAAGTAATACTAATATATATTAGCGCGTAATATAAAGTTACTATAGCTCTTTATATTTCTAGCGCGTAATATAAAGATTACTATAGCTTTCTATATTCTATATTCTCTACGCTAATAGTAAGATAGCTTAGCTAAATAAGACTACTAATAGTAGCGCTGCTAATAGTAGTAGTATTAATTCTAACACTTAGACCTAGTAAGAAGTTAATAACTTTTATAATAAGCTTAGTAACTTTAAGAATAACTCTAACTTTAATAAAAATAAAAAGGCCTAGTTCTATTAAGAGCGCGCTACTATCTAGGCTAAATACTAATATACTTATAGAGTCTACTTTAAAAAAAACGCTAGTAATAAGAATAGTAATAAGAATAGTAACTAGAATAGTAATAAAGATAATATAAAGCGCTATTACGCCTTTTATTATTAGTTACTTAAGATAGTAGTTAACCTACGTAGATAGACTATCTTTAATATTAGCTATAATAATAATACTAACGCTATCTATATTTACTTATTTAATATCTACTCTAGTAGTAATATAACAGGTAGAAATATAAGTTAAGATTATATTACTTATAAGATACTACGTTATTAAGCAAATAGCTATACACGTAAGGTTTTAATATTTCTTGCTTAATATAGAGCTAGGCCTAATTAGGTAGAAGTTATAGGTTTAATCTATAACACTACTCTCTCTCTCTTTTAGAGTAAGTTCTAACGCCTAAAACTTTTAGTATATTGCGAAAGTAATATTATGTCTATATACTAGTAAACTTTAAATCTAAATATAAAGAAGACGCTTGTTTTGCAAAAGCTATACAGGCTAAAGTATCTTCTATATTCTTTACTATAACCTTCTTCTAAGCGTTCTTATTATTCTATTATTATAGCCTAGTAGCATTATTTAGAGCACGTAAGCAGCTTTTATAGAAAAAGTAGTAGTAAGGTAGAGCTATTAGTAAGAGTATAGAAATAGATAATCTATAGTAGTTAGTATACTTAACAAGGCGCAACGTTAATACTATAGTTACTATACCTCTACGCTATTACAGATCTTTCTTACCTTTATCTTAACACTAGTCTAGTAGAATTATAATCTCTAAGTTAATATTACGTAATAAAGCTATAATAAAGATTCTATTATTAGAACGTATAGCAACTATAATAAGAACGTTAATAGGCCTTAAGTATATTAGTTTATATAGAGTAAGTATTATTCTAAGTTAAGCGTTATATACTAAGACAATACGTAGAGGTAGCCTTTCTAATACGTAGTAATAAGTTATAATAGAGTATTACGTAACTACTTATAACGTGCTATTTACGCAGCTATAGTTAGGTAAGATTATTACTCTAATAAAGTATTATTATTATAAGCTTCTATCTACTTATTAGTGTACTAAATTTTACATATAGGCCTAGCTTTCTAGGTTACTATTAGTAGAAGATATTAATAAGGTTAGTAGAGTCTACAAGATTTATATAAAGTTTCTAGAATAGATTATTAGATCTCTCTAGGTAATCTACCTATTAGACTCTATATTATAGTAGTTCTTTTCTACCTTATAGCTCTAGGTTAGGTAGCTTCTTATTAAGGCAACTATTAAGAATAGCTTCTACTAAGTAGTTAGTATTATTATTAATATTAGAGTTAGTAAGTTTAATATAGCTCTTAGCGTCTTATAGCTACCTAGGTAGTAGTTATTTATTAACTTAGTAGAGAAGCTATAGATAGAAGATGTTATACGCTTACATCTCTAGTATAAAAGTAACCTTATAGGCTATATTATTAATAACTCTTATTATAAGAAATAGACTATAGTTCTTAAAATCTAATAACTAGTTTAGGCGCGTAGTATAGAGGTTATAGAAGTTAACTATAACGTAGTTACTAACTTTAAACTCTAGAGTAGGTAGGCAATAACTATTAGCGTACTCTACTTACTTAGACTAGGCCTAGATAAGTTATTTCTTTAGGTAGGCTTAGAGCTTATTAATCTATTTTATAAATTTATTAGCGTTAAGCTAATTACGTTAAGTAGGCGCTATAAGTAGTCTAAGAGCCTTAGCTAGTTTAATACCTAAGCGTAGGTTATAGCTCTTTATAGTAACAAAGGCAGAAACACTAGTACTTACGTTTACTATAGTATTTGCCTTAAACTCTACTATAGACAATAAAAGAGCCTAATTATTCTACTTATAGTTAATATAAGCATAAAGGTACTACTTTAGAAAAGCGTTAGTGTTTTCTATCTAACTATTAGTTTTAGAAT